TCCGTCCCCGGGGCCGCGGTGCTGAACGGCGCCCGCCCGTCCGTGCGCTCCGGCGGGCGTGTGAGCCGCTCCCCAGAGACACTCGCGCCGGAGCTGGGGACTCCTGCTCCGGGAAAAGAGGCGGTCCAAATGGGGGAGCAGCTGCACCATCTGTGGCAAGGTGTGAGCACCTCCGGTTCTTGGACTGCCGGCATAAACTGCCCTTCAGCGGCAGCCATTCATGACAGATGTTGGGTTCTGTGGAGACAGGTATGCTTTGGAAACGACGGGATTTTGAGAGAGGTTCAATAAAACCGCTTACTCCAGACCAAACCAATCTAGTGTTCCCTCTCCCAGTTCTCCAGAAGCTGAGGTGTTGCAGCAAGGGAATAGCTGGTAAAGGGAGGATTCGCAGCAACTGCATATGAAGCCTTCAAGATGTTTTGTGGTTTATTTCTTTAATATTAGACCTGTGAATAGAAACTTTTGTCATCAACAAGTGTCAGCGTGCTGTTCCAGCACCTGTGAGACTGTTGAGTGGTCAGCTCCTCAGAAACTGGAAGTTCATGAACTCCAGACCTGCTCTTATGTCTTAGAGAAAGCACATTTGTTATTCTACACCACCTCACACCGTTGTCGAGGGTGGGGGAAAAGGACCCTCCTCCAGGGAGAAGGGATTCCTTCCAATCAACAAAACATGGTGGAGGGAGTCTATCTGGTCTACTATTGGGGTATTTTCATGTGAAATATTTTTTTTCTTCTACCTTCTGTTATTAGTATTGTTGGTGTTACTGCTTATTTCCTTATCTCAGTGCTGTTTCAGTAAATTGTTCTTACCTCAACCTGCCATCTTTGCCTATTGTGCCTCCAATTCTCAGCTCCATCCTTCTAGAAGGGGACGGGTGAGGGGAAATTAGGGGAGCAAGAGAGGGTTGTGGAGAGTGTTGGACGGGGGGACTGATTTGGGGAATACCATTCCTAAACCATAATAGCAATACAGGTTACAGCGGCAGTGAAACTTAGTCCCACTTAGTTTAAAACGGTGCTAATGGCTCACAATAATCTTGTGACAGCTAACACAGCCAGCTCTTTATTTCAGTCACCTCAACTCAGGCAGTCCTGTGTTGTTGTGGTTATTACTCATCCTCACTGTTCTTTGCTAAATGTCACATAGTGCTGTCAGCAGTACCACAGCCTCATAAAATCAATTCCTTCTCTCCTCCCTGGCTACCCTGGACTGCTAAGTAGTCACTTGTTGCCTGTAGCACCAATGCTGCCTCTCAGAGGACAGAGCTCTTCAGACACCGCTCTTCCACTGACCTGCGCTGTGCTCTGACCTGCACAGTGTGCTTTCTCTTGCCCTTCTTTTCCAGCCACATGTTTTGGCTGCAGGTTCTTCAAGGCCAGGAATTTTTTGCACACTGAACAGTCTGTGATAAGTCCAGTCATGTCACTCAGATACTTTAGGTAGTCCCTCTGAAATCCTACAGGAATATCAGACAAGGAGGGATCAGAAGTGCCCTGTGCCTCAAGTCCACATTACTTCTTCTCCAATATCCAGGAGAGTTCATGTGACATTCTCCCAGAAAGGGTCTGCCTGCTTGAAAGAATCTCTTCTTTCTAAATTTCTTTTTCAAAAATTGCTGAACTCCTGATAGAAATAGCTAAGCTGACGAGTATTGATTCTTCATGGGTGAGAGGGACTAACCTGGCAAAACTGGCTTTCCTCCCAGATTTTGGGATCTAGTTGATCTTTCCCTCTGCCAAAGGTAATTTTTATCTTGATGCTTGTTGTGGAAGTCAGAACAAGCCTTTCAACCTATAGGGCAATATCTATAGATTTCAGGTACGTTAATTTAATTTGCAGCTTTATGGAATGTTTCCCAGTTTTAAGGAAAGTTTTTTCTGAAATCTTGAGAGATATTATATACTTTATAATTTCTTTTTTTTTTTAAGTAAATTGTTAAATAAAACATTACTGAATCTGCTTTTCCTGTGAAAATGAGCACTTTTTGGAAAGGAAAGAGATCCTTCTTTCTCCAGGCCTTAGGCATTTTAACGTTCATGGGGGGTCATAGCACTATCCAGATGTATTCAGAGGGATTTTCTGGGATGCAAGCAGAATGTACATTTACTATCCAGGTGAATTCAAGGCCACTTTCTAGTCTGCAAGCAGAACATATGTTCTTTAACTTGTATATTGAAAGTGATGTAAGCCAGCAGCATGTGACTAACAAAACGGGAAAAGGTTATTTTATTGTCTATAGATGCAGACGCAGGATGCTGATTTGTCACAGACACACACAGAGGGGTTTTAGCTGTTCAACACACTTTTTCACCTGCCTGAAGGTGTTTGTATACAAGTACACGTCCTCCTGTAAGCTGCATCACTGGGTTGATGGCAAAGGTTGAGTGGCTTTAGAACAATTTATTCCAGCACTGAAGCTTTTTTACTTGCCAGGTGACATGAAGACCATGTCTTTGTTTAAAGTATATCAGATACATGAGCTTATGCATTTCCTCTGAACTCCCTTCTAGTTCCAATGGTTCAGCTAGTAAAGAAAACTCTGGAGTAACATCTTGTGTCTTTGGAGTGTATGCATACACTTGTTCTACTAGTTTGCCTCAGTGATGTTTGCAGGAACTGTTTTGATGTGAGTGCGACCATTACAGATGAGCACAGGAGGATACATGCAAAGCACTCCTTTAATGTGATAAAATACGACCTTTTTTGTGCATCAGACTAAAAAAATGTAAAAATTCATGCCTGATGACTTTTTTCCACCATTTTTTTTCCCACTGTGAGATTTTTGTTGCATTGCGTTGCCTCCCTCAGTACCCCAAGTCACTTACTACAAAGCTCTACCAAAAAAGGAATTTTCTGTGCCAAAGCCAACATTTTGGACTCTTTGAAGAAATTGCATTTTAAATTATGACTTGGATAAAACAATGGGGACAGAGGATTTTGGGTAGAGGAAAGAATTTCATAAAGGGGACAGGCATGTGGTTGGACAATTTAACAGCAAGCATAGGGAGAAGAGAACTAAAGCCACAGCACTCATAGAAGCACGGAGGAGGTCTAGAAGATTTACACAGTTGTGAATTTTCATCAGATTTATAATTTTGGCAACTAATATGGCAGGTTTTCCAACTGTTGCAGCTGTTGATCTGCACAATGACTTTGAAGCCCCTGGGCTCATTGGCAGGTGAAATTAACATTAATTTTATGGCCAGGGAGTCTCATGCAACCAGAGTGCTTGGGACTGTCTGCACTTAGGCAATCACCTTGCACATACACAGTGGCTATGAGCCTGCATGTCACTACCTTTTGTGGGGCTGACTGATGTTCTCAACATGCTTTTCTGTAGAATCAGTCTTTCATCATCTGAGGCAATAGTGTGGTCAGTTATGGTGTCATATATTTGATGCAGTTACTCATGTGACACAAACTGAGGCAGCCCTATTGACTTCACTGATATTAGCATGACTCATTCTGGCAAGGGAGCTGGCTGTATTTTTTGCTTTGTTGATTCTCATTAGAAAGGGTTTACCTTGCACAGTTAATTTATTGCAGGTGAAACATTCCCATCATCCCATCATCAGTTTCTCTGATCAAATGCAGGTTTGCATTCCTGTCTAGATCACTGCTCTAGGTTTGGTGAAATCAAAATGCCTGACAGCGGATAAAACATAAGAGAATTGTACAAAGGGGAATGCAGAGGAATGGGCTAGAGCATTTTCCTGCTGGAGCTGGTGTTTGTCCTTCCTTATGCAGCTCAAGAGCTCGTGGGCAGCTGGGGGCTGTGAGCCAGCCTGGGGTGTGTCGCTACGGTTCCAGGTTGGATTGCTGTCCTGGCTGGAGAAAGAACAAGGGCCACTGTGAAGGTAACATTAACTTTCTGTTTGGTTCCTCTCTGTTGCTGCATACTTGGTACTAATAAGGGGATTTCTTGGTCCAGAAGGAACCATCTGTTCTAACCTCTTGCACAGCTCTGGTCAGTGGCTATGCTGTTACAGCTGTTGAGTACGTGCCATAAATGCAGTGTTTTCTAATGTTATATGAGGACCCCTAGAATTATTTTATATCAGTTGGCATCCTTCAGATTACACAGCCTCTGAGAACCAGAAGGTTTTAACTTTCTAAAAATATAAATAAAACTCAAGCAATAAGTGCCCCTGACTTGAACTTGGGTAACCAGCCAGTGTTCTGGTCTGTGGATCAATTGCTTAATGAAGAGACAATGGCTCTTAAGACACTTCTAAGTTGTAAAAGGCCAAAGGAGAATGCAGTGTGGAATCTCTCTCTCCAATTGTACTTGGGAAAAACACAACAAAATCATAAAATATGTTTTAGAAATCATTTTCAGATGTTGCACCTGTTGTCCCAGAGAGTTTGGCCTTTTATATCTAGTGAATTTGTACAGAGGCTTAAGATTATTTATTGCTGAAAATCCATATACTAAAAGAGGAAAGTACTAAAATGTCTCTGCTCTGTATATATTATATGCCATTTTAAAAAAGGAATCAGGAATTATTGTAGTATTCCTTGCATTGCTTAATTGCACTTTAGTTTTGATGCAAATTAATCCCTGGAGGGATAACTGGCAAATATAACTTTTGATCAGCCAGTGGAGTAGGTTGTCTTGTTTTCAATTTGTCTTGTTTTAAAATTTGAAGACTGTTCTTTGGATAATCACTTTAAGCCACCTATAATGTAATTCTGCATTGTAAATCCAGATGTGGTGTTTTTCTCTGCTTCAGTGCTAATACTGCAAGCTGGTCTTTTGCAGTCTTGCATCTCCTCAGTTACAAAAGAGAAATGTGTCCATCCAATGGGAGAACATCCCAAGCAGGGATTCTTTGGATCCCAGGGGAACAAGCTGGTCTTGCAGTGTGCCACATTGCATTCAAAGCTGGAAGAAGTGTTGAAAAATGCCTCAATCCACAGAGTTAGTACCTTCAGTACATCTGAACGTATCTGTTGACATAGGGAAGATACTTGAATTCAGAAAAATTAATTTTAATGTTAATTTTACAATATTGTAACTAAGCTTTCCTGTGTAGTTTGCAGACCAGCTTAACTACATAAGAAATAAAGATTCACATCCTGGTGCACACTCCTTCACTGTTCCCTCAGAGATTGTCATGATATAAATGCACGTTTGGTTTGTTCTTCCTGAATAACCCCCATGCTGACAATTAGAGGGATTTCAGGAGCCTTAAGGCTTATAAAAGTCAGCATTTAGTTTCTGATTTATGATCCAGAGGACTTAGGGTTGCTTTTTAATGCATCCAGGTTAAATGTAGCCCTCTCAAATTATTGTAAATCTGATGCAATTACACTTGCTGGGATGTGTGGTAAGGACAGTTGCCTGATGACAGATGTGCTCTGGATGTTCCACCATGGGACAGACACGTTCCTCTGCTGTAACTGAGGAGATCCAAGACTGTAAACTGCTATAGGATTATGCATCCCCCTTGGCTCTAGGAGAGTGCTATTGCCTCTTCCCTACTTCAGATGCCAAGCATAGCAATTCAAGCTGCTGGCCAGCTGCATCTCACATAGGCTTCCTAAAAAAAAGGGAAAAGGCAAGGGTACAAAACTAAATGTGAGTTGTAAGCATTGCAGAAAAAAAAATTAAAAGTGAAGGAGAGACCTTTTGTCTTTACAAACCTGGAAAAGACCAAATTATTGTAATTCATGTTAGTACCACTATTCACAAGCCAAACTAAAGTGCTGATCAGTAGTTACTGTGCTCAGACTAGAGGGAGAGAGAGGTATGGAGAATGCTGAACTTGTGCAAAACCTTTTAGGCAACTAAGCAGGGCAAAAGTTTCTCAAATAGAATATTTCTAACTTTTCATTTTTCTCTTTCTCTGCCTGACTCCACCAGCTACCTGTGGACATGGTTGCAAGTATGGCGAGTGCATGGGACCAAACAAATGCAAATGTTTCCCTGGATTTACAGGGAAAACCTGTAATCAAGGTTTGTGCATATGCTCCAGAAAGGAGACTGCTGGTTTTCTATTTCCTTATCTTGTACTATGGTTTTTGTCATCTTCCAAAGCAGTAAACCAGGGTGTTTTCTTGTTTATGTAGAAGAACTTCAGAATTTAAGACTTTTGCATCATCAGCATCCCAGGCAACCTCTAAGCCTCCTCTAGCAGGCAAAAGTTTGAACCTATATTGTATATCTTCTTTTGGTTGATGACAAGGGCAAACTCTCATGTCTAAAGTCAGAGGATTAAGGTATGGAAACATTATTATAGGAAGGTATCAGAAGAGATGGAAATCAATTCCAGAACCCATGTTATTTTCTTAACTAGCAGCCCCTGCTTCTTTTTAAATGAATCTTCTAGTCAGAAAGACATGCAATTGTGTGGTAGACATGGAATTTATCAATCTGCCTGGGCTGTTTGTATATGGTAATGGTATTTCTGAGAACCACCATGGGAAGTCCTTAGAATTGCCTTTTCAGAAATTTTAAGTGCATCGTTTTCCCCCCATAAACTTGAAATTCAACTTGGAAATATTTCAGTTAAAACACTGGTAAGAACTCAGCTTTGGTTTTCCTGTTCAAAAATACAAGACTCCTGTCTTGGATCAGATGAAAGGAGCAGGTCACTGTGCATGGAGAGGCAGGTGAGTGAACTGTAGGTGTTATGATGGAAACATGACATAAAGGCCACAAAAATTACTAGGTCTATCCTTGCTACCTTCCTAAGCTCCTGCAGACTTTGCTTGAAAATATTGCATTGACATGCTAACACACATTTTTTATAGTCAAAACAGCCCATTTATTACACAGTATCTTTTAAACAATATGCCCTGAAGTTGTGCTATTAAGTATTTTGGAAAAATCCATCTTTTACTGCTTCTCACAGGGAAAGAAGTTAAATTGTCAGTACCTCTAGAGAGGAAAGGGAAACAGCAGCTGTGGTTATATGTAACAAATACATAAGGTCCACTTAAAACTTCAGCCTCTAAATGCAGAAATTTAACCTCAAAAATTCTTTGGCAGTTTAAATGTTACTAAAAGGCAGCAGAGAAGCCCTCAGCTTTTAGATATTTTCCATGCAGTAACTCCATGTGCCTTTGACATGCTCTCCACAGGCAGTGTGGTCAGTTCTGTGCACTTTGGTAGGTTCAGAGACTGAGGCTTGGAGGAAGCACTGCACAGACCTACACATGCAAATTCCTGTTAGCTCCTAGGCTTTTCTACCTTCTGGAGCCTAGCCAGGATTTTTTCAGTGAGGTGATGGCTGGTACAGGCCAGAAGTGTCCAAGAGCTGTTTGTTTCAACAGTATAGCCGTATAGGTGGTCATGTTCCATCAGTCAGGAGTGCTACTACCCACTTGTAATTTACTGGCAGATGTAGCCTTGGTCTGTCCTTACAGCAGAATGTCCTGCTGAGCAAGCTCAACATGAGCTAACTGAAATAACAGAGATAAGGGGACTGTATTAGTCTGCCACCAGGTCTGAGCTAAATTAGCCTTATCTCCACAGGTCCTTTTTTAGAGCTGTGTATGCTATCTGTGCATCGTGAGAGATAGGTGCAGATAAGCACTTTTGAAAATGTGTGGTCTAAATGAAATAACTTTTGTTGTCCAGTTGCTCTCTAGTTTCTTTGTTAAGAGAGTCTTAGTTATTTGGTGGAGTGACAGTAGCACAAAAATCCAGTGTGATTTGCAAGCAGACAGGTTGTGCTTTTTAAAACAGACCCTGTGAAAATAATAGAATGCAACCCTCGCTCTTCCCTGGACTGAGTTGTAACAAACACTTGTGCACCTCCACAAAGTTTATGCTTTGAATGGCCTGGAGGTTTTGTTCCTGTGGTCTGCAGAGTGTGACACAACAACAGATGCCTCTCCCATTAGAAGTGGAGTTTCACAAACTCAGTTCTTGCCTGGAGAGCTGCAACTCTACTAAAATTATATTTTCAGTCACACGTGATGTTAAACACAAATTGAATGGCCTGCATATGCTGGTGCATTCTATAAATGAGTTCTGTCTATTTACCAATCACTACAAGAGGTAGAGGTGTCAGGTCGTGGAAGTGAAAAACACAGATGTTGTCCCCTTGTCATAGGCCAAATATTACTGTCAGCACTGCTCACCCTATACCACATAAATAAATGTTTTGGAATTCTCATTTTCTTCCTGTGAAGGGCAGATGTTAGGAATTTGAAATTGATTTAGTTTCTGAAAAGCCTTTAAATCCTGGATTTTGTGAAGGATTTAGGATGTCTTATTATCAGGATTTTGAGATTTTTGAGATCCTTTTAAAGTCACATAATTATTATCATATATTGTATTTCATTTCTGCTACTGATAACCTTGGTGCCAGTGTATAGCTCAGAAAAATTAAAGTAAAAATCTTTGCTTCACTTTATCTTAAACTGTTTTGCTGTTCTTAGTCTCATGGTTTTGCCTTTCTAATAATACAGGGGTCAACTGGAGGGCTAGAATCAGAAAAAATCCATTTTAAATACTCCGAAAAAAAGATTAGGTACAATTCTCTCCACCCCTCCAGTTCTTCCTAACAAGCTGCCAGATGTGGCCAGAGTTTGCATTAATTTTTCAAGTGTAGAGGTCTGTGTATGTTGGTTTTACTAGCAGTCTTTCAGCCAGATGGTCTGCTAAACTCATCTTGCGAGGGGCTGGCTGATTTTCCATCCAGACGATTTCACTCTAGGGAACTCCACACATTAGGCAACATTATCCACCTATATGCATGAATTTATGTATAAAATCCCAGCACTCACTCTGTTCCAATGACTTGTGCAGATCTGAATGAGTGTGGACTGAAGCCACGTCCCTGTGAGCACAGATGTATGAACACCCATGGCAGCTACAAGTGCTATTGTCTCAACGGGTACATGCTCATGCCAGATGGCACATGTGCAAGTAAGTAACAGAGCTGATGGAACAGGCACACCAAAATCATCTAATCACATTTAATCCCAGCAGCTTTTCTTCTTGTGATCAACAGATTTAGATTATTCAGGATAGGGTCTTTGCCCCTGCTCTCTGGTACTGTCCCAGCTGAAAGAGGCTTCCTATTTGGTAGTTTCTGGGTAAAGTAAACTAGGTCATACTTATATTTTGGCCTTCAGAGGTGTTTTGGTCCTGATAGAAGTAAAAGTAAAAGTTTGGTAGTGTTGCTTCAGATGAAGAACAGCTAGTGTGATCTCAGTGTATAGTCCTGCCAGTTCATCTGTTGAATAAGGATGACTGAATGTATTCAAGCAAAGCACCAAAATAGATTATTCTTTACTGTGCTGAATTGCATGCCATGATTCCTTGCTTTACCTTTCTGTGCTCCACAACTGATTTATTTGTGTTAATATGCTTTCGACAGCTGATGAAAACTGTTCTTGCAAACACTTGCTGTATGATCTAAGGCTTATCTAAACTTGTAAAAGCAGGTATTTCTACCTGTCTTCTTTGTCTTTAAGCCAGCATGAGATGGAAAGCATTCTCCTTTTTTAGCCAACCTGATTTTTCAGATCTGGGGAAGCTTCTGGTTTTTTGGTGACAGAAAATATAGAAAGTATCTCATGGACTCCCGAAGTTTTTATATGTTAATTTATAAACAGCTTTATTTATAATGAATGGCTTTTTGTTGTTCTTAATAATTTCTGTGTTCATCCATATCTAACTTAAAACTGTGTGATTCCAGCCTAGAATTTTGCTCTTCTTGTTACTTTAAATACTGTTTTCAGGTTCTAGGACATGTGCCATGGTGAATTGCCAATATGGATGTGAAGAAGTCAAAGGGCAGGTGCAGTGTCTCTGTCCATCAGGTGGCCTTCAGCTGGGACCAAATGGAAGGACATGCATTGGTATGGTTAGAGAGCTCACTCTCAGCTTCTTTTCTGCAGGATCCCCAAAGCCATAAGATTCTGGGGAAAGGTTAGGAAGTAGTTAACCCTCCTCACTGGCTTAAATAATGCTTCTTAAATAATGCTTCTTGTTACTCTCAGTGTGACATAAAGTTTTCTTTTTTTTTTTTTTTTTTTACTATTAGCCATGTAATTCTTTGGATAACTCTCATCCCCAGTAAATAATTCAATGTTTTGACATGATTTAGAGTCATCAACAGATTCAGTTTCTCTCTATTGGAATGAGACCATTAATTACCATGCTTTGCCTGCAGGAAGCTGCCCTGCTGACATCATGTGTTATAGGATTTGGGTCTTTTGTTTGGATGGGGCTTTCTGTTATTGTGATGACCCACAATACAAACTTCTCAATTTTTCTCCAGAAGCCTCAACATGAGGCCTGTGAGTTTTCTGTGATGAAGAAAGCATTCCTTATAATATTTGATACTATGTTCTTCCATAAAGTTAGTTCACGTTTTACTGCTTCACTCATAAGAACACATGCAAAAGCCATCACCAAGTGTGAAATTATAAGACTTATTTATTAAGCATATTTGTGACAGCCAAGACCAAATCATTCCCATGCAAATCCCAGTGAGTTTTTTCCCATTTTACCTTCCTGTGGATCTGACCAGCATCTCTTCTCCTGCTGTAGACATTGATGAGTGCTCCACTGGCAAAGCTGTCTGCTCATACAACCGCAGATGTGTCAACACGTTTGGAAGCTTCTACTGCAAGTGCCAGCTGGGTTATGAACTAAAATACACCAGCAGTCGCTACAACTGTGTAGGTAAGAGCTAGCCCATGGATGTTCCTTCTTCATTCTTTTTATTCCCACAGAGTGCCTCTTCCCTGTCATTGCCTCCAGCATGTTGGCCTGTCCTGGGGAAGCTGCCTCAGAATTGGGTAAAAGATGTCACACTGAGAATATTCTTGATGGGCCTTTGAATTGTTTCTGGTTTGTTTGTTTGTTTGTTTTTCTGTAGCTTTATGAAAAACCGAATCACTGGCACTTACAATTTAAATCACCTCATTGTGCCAAGATGTGCAAGAGGTTGCTGTACATTGGCAACCCTTGACTAAAAAAAAAATGCTACTTCTGGTAAAGGTCTAGTTAAAGAGGCAATTTTTTGTTATCTTGGTTTCAAACTGTGATGAATAAGCAGTCCCGCTATATATTTTTTTCATGTCATTACTGAGGAATGTGAAGTGCCTTCATGACTGTAAAAACAGTTATTTGGATGGTTTTTACAGAACTTGGGGGAAAAAAATTATGAAAATAGTAGGTTTCAATTACTTTTCAGGTTTCTGTTGAGTGACAAAGTTTCTCTCTAATAAAAATAAATACAGGCAAAAAGTTATCTTGACATGCTCAGGTGTTAAAACAAATATCAAAATACACTTCTGTTTCAATCCATTGGCTGAATGCTGGAAGAACAGCAAAGTGTAAGTTACTGCAGCAGCTGCTGCAGGAGTATTGTTCAAGCTGTTGACTACACACGGGCCTGGAAGGGTTGGAACTACTATATGTGCATAAAAAAGAGAATTAATAGGATTTCTTTATATTTAATTGATATTGGAAGTGAGGGGTGGGAGGCATAAGGTGGGATCATAAGGCAGGTTTGGAGACTTAAGTTAGGATTTCATTTAAGTTTTCACTTCAAGTGGAAAGACTGTTTTCTTTTCTCATACAATATGTGTGCACAGGGGAAAAATTGGAAAGGTCTCAGTAGTCAAAATTTTATTTGCAAACCTAAATCTCACATTCAGACACGCCAGACTTTTTAGTCAGTCTTACGATACTTGTTTGTTTGCTGACTTACACTATGAGAGGACCTGTCAGCTGCTAAAAAATGATGCAATCTGGATAAAATGTGAGTGGTACAAATATTTGTGCACCAACATGACTCCCTCATGTGGGATAAATCAGAAACATCCTTGTAATGGAGCAAAATCAAATACTCTTGGTGCCTGTACATTTTGCTGTGAGTTGAATGTAGTATTTTCTACTACATTTTCCTTATTATAACTTTTTTCATGCAGCATCATATATATGCTGGAATATGAGAGGTAGCTTAAAGATCTTGACATCTTGGCATGCTCAGGGTTACTTTCCATTGCACTCTTTCTACAGTGAATGAAAGAATGTGAATGTTTTGGTGAGCTCTTTTTTAATTGATGTCACATGTTGTCTCGGTGCCTTGTGCATTTTGTTAATAGAAGAGTGTGTACAACCTATAGCTTGAATCCTGTTCTCAGTCAGAAAATCACAAAGTCAGGAAACTTTGTCTTTACTGGGATGCTCTACGTTTTCCATATGCCAGCATCTGTACATTTGGAGCTGACACCAAGCATTCTCTCCTAGTGTGAACTCTTCTGTCTCTGATGGTCACTGCTCTGGCTTGGTCTGACATCAGTGCTTACGGTACCTGGGAAGAGATGGGTGGCACAAACAGGCTGTCAGGAGCCTTGGGTTTCAACCCAGTTTTCACTGAAGTGTTTATGTCTTCCCCCAGATGTAAATGAATGTGTGACAAATACACACAGGTGCAGCCTCCATGCAGAGTGCCTCAACACCCAAGGGTCCTTCCAGTGCAGATGTAAACAGGGCTACCGAGGAAGTGGATTTGATTGTGCTGGTGAGTACCACTGGATGTCAGGAATAGTGCTGTATTGTTTTTCTCCAGTAACTGATCGTTACAAGGCATGTTCTCAGAAAAGTCACGCTGAGCAGTGCTGCAATACCAAGCAAGCAAGACCTCTCCACAAAATATATTAACTGCATGGCTCATAGCATAGTTACTACAAGTGTCACTTGCTCAAATTAATTTTGCCTGGAAGTCTCCAAGTCTCATAATATCCCTAGGAATTGCAAGTAGAACAGAGAAGTGAATTTGTCTTAAAGAAACAGAGAAAATGGTTTTAAAGCTTACTGTGATTTCTCCATGAACTCCCAAGTTTAGCCCCTTGGAGGGATGTGCAGTCCCTCCCAGAAGAGTTTCAGGCTAATTTAGCAAAAAATGAGAAAAGGGAGGAAAGCCATGACTTCTCTGTTAAACTGTTTTCACTTTAAATTATGCCTTTGTCTATTGAATATGGAAGACCCCCTATAAAGATGTAATTTCCCATTTTAACTGAATATCACCCTTCAAGAATAAAGAAAGAAAGGGTGTTCTTGTTTTTATATTTGAAATTAACCTTTTAACTCATACCTTTATTAATCCTGGCAGATGTTTCTCCTGCAACATCATTAAAGGTGTTTTCCTCAAGAGGACTCTTGACTCCTGCTCAAACTTTTAAAAAGTTTTTGTCTGTAGCAGATGAAGTCTACATAACATATAAGTCTTTTCAAGTAATCCTTGATCAGACATATCTTATGATTATACTTCATGGTCACAGATGTTCTCTGAGTCCCTCTATTATTCATGTTCCTACTCCCATTATAGTAGCAATTGAAACATACATTTTACAGCATACAACATACAATACACATTGATAAATTATTATTTTCACATAATATTTTGAGTTGCAAGGGACCCACTAGTCCAACTCCTGGCCCTGCACAGGAGAGCACCATTTTGTTAAGTTTCAATTTCCAGTAAAAAAATTTTGAACTTTAACAAGCAAAAAATTAACACAAAAAATCTGACTGTTAATGAAGGGTTTGATATGGACATAGATTACCACAGTAGAGCTGTTTAAAACATTCTTCTACTCAAATTCAATGTTATGAGCCAGGTTCCCTGCTAGACCACATCTCTTGTGATATGTCACTGCAGCTCACTGAAATGGAGGGATGTATTTGACTGGATATCAAAGCTAACTTACATGGCACATCTTGGTATGGTTTTGTTAAAAAAAAGTGTACCACAGGTGAAATGTTGAACAAATACATGTCTGATAAAAACAGTCTGGGTTTTTTTTTGTTTCTGCTTTTGGGTTGTTTTTTGGGTTTGTTTTTTTTTTTTTTTTTTCATTTATTTGGCTTTCTTTTTAATGAGAAGGTAAAAATTTCCAGGGAAATTTTTTTTGGCTTTCTTTTTAATGAGAAGGTAAAAATTTCCAGGGAAATTTTTTTTGGCTAACTGTATGTATAAAATAGTATTTTGTCAAGCAAAAACAATTCAACAATAATGATTGCTAAAATATAAATAGAAGAAATATTTTCAGTTGTGGAAATAAATTTTTAGATGTCTAGCCCTGTAAAAAAAATCACTTCTGAAGTCAGATGATTCCTATCTTCTCACAGGTTTTTCTCTTGCATAGTTTGCCCTCTGCCTACTTCCTCTTGTCACATTTCCAATTGCTGAACTCCATTTGTTGTTTAGGAGAGGAAGGATCCATGCCATTCATAAACTTAATAGAACACACTAAATGGAAAAGAGATTTATTACAAGAGAGGACAGAGAAATAACATACACTAGTGAGAGCAGTGAGAGCCACAGGCAGATCAAAAGGGTGAGGGTCCAGCTAGAAAGATGTAAACAACAATAGAGGAAGATTAAAATATAAATAATTGTAGGTAAACCCTGAAATGTAGAGATGCTAAATACAGACTGCTTTCCCTGGAGTTAATTCCCCCACATACACCTTTTCTTTTCAAGGAAAGTGGAGGAGATTCTTTTAGCTCTGAATGTTTCAATGTTTGCCTTTTACTGAAATCTTCAAGAACATCTCACCAGTGTGACTGATGGGGGCAGGACATGTCTTGATATTGGGGAAAATGTTTTTTTCAAACAGTGACACAAACAATTGGATGTACCAGCCAATAGTGAAACACTGAGTGTTCTCCATGTCACATGGCAGCTGTGGAAAAGCTTTGCCTTTACTGAAGCCAAAAGAAATTTTCCTGTTGAGTTTAATGGGATGAGGACACCAACTTGGGAATTTAGGGGCTGAAGGCTGTGGCTTCACACTTCTTTTGGTGACAATGGCTACAGTTCCTGTGGCCCATTCCAGTTCCCAGTGGACCTTGTGCTGCAGCTGAACCAAAATGTTCTTAAATGAGTCTCCAGTACTCCACATAATTGTTCCCACAGAGCTGGAATCCTGTTTTCATAGGGAAGCATTAGTTCTTAATAACAATTGTTTCTAGTGTAAAAGAAAGCTGGCTGCCGTGGAAGCAGTATTTGCTTTTTTAAAAAAATGAAAACTATTTTAATATATAACTTAGTTTTTGGAAATTAAAAAGAGAGAAATTAAGCATATTGTTTATAATTCCTGTGGCTACATCTCATGCCATCAAATAACCTCCTAAGTGCACCTTTGCAAAGGTGGTGGAAATTCTTTTATTCAATTTGAATGTCAATACATTAACTTGGAGATGGCTGCTGAAACTTCAGGCTGCAAACACTGCTGCTGGTATGGATATGACCTGTGATTATTGAGGCATGCTTTTGCCATTTCACACTCCTGTATGTATGAAACATTGGACACCATTTCTGAACTGTCTGTAGTACACATGTTGTTTGAGAATCCATAGAGATGGATCAATTTGAATGATCCCTAAAAGGGTTCTAGTCATTTCCACATCTGGCCTCTATCTTGCTGCAATCTGTTGCTGCTCTCAGGTTCATATGTTTCCTGATTTCCTGCTGTGCATTGAAAACCCGCATTTCCTCTGCCACATGCTTCTATGTGTATTTCAGCTTTTATTTTAGAATAGAGTTTCACAAAATTCCATAAACAATTAAGATTCCTGGGGGGAAAAAATATTTTTTATTCACTTTTTTGGTCCTACAAAATAATTTAAAGAATGGATTACTATGTTTAAGTCTACATGCATGTCTCTAAGGAGCTCAACAATGACACTCTTGTTACTGCCCAGCTAGAGGCAGAGGTTACTCTTCTTCATTATGCTTTGCTGGGTATCTAAATGTCAATAAAAATTCATGCCAGCTCTCTCTCTGCCCCTTGTGTTACCCATTCATTTTTTTGCTGATAGGGTAACTCTCAAACACTATATATGATTTTGCTTTCTTATTAACTTGCCAGTCCTGGGAAAGGCTTGGTTTGACATAATAAAGTTTCAAAGCTTCAAAAACTATTGTGGTCATATTGCTGGTGATATTCTTAAAATTTAATTCAGTATGGAGTCAAATACTGCTGTCATTCTTCAATGAGTAACACTTAGGCTTTTGTCACCACACATTTCCTGCTAGATGCCTTGCTGGCTGGTGTACTCATGTATTAAGCACAGTCCAGCATGACAAATTTGCCCTGGTTTCTCAAAGTATCCTTCCCTAAATAAGACAGTAAAAGTTTTAGAAATTAAATAGGGTAGGAATGCATAATGACAGATGATGTCCCAGGGTGCTTTGAAGAAAATAATAGCCCAGAATCTGTCTTTTAACCTATCTATGAAAGGTTTCAGACTCACTTAAGAATTTGTAAAAGAGGTCGATAACTTCTTTTAGAATGATTGCTGGAAGTATGTCATGCTGATCTAATCTTTACTCACATCCACAGATTGCACCTACAGCTGGTAGATTGTTGTCTGTCTCCCTCACCACTTCTTCAGCTCTTATTTACAGAAGCTATAAAGGGAGCTAGGAAAGGATTTGTAAGCCAGTCAAGGCTTGTCTCTCACCAGGTTTTTAAATACTCTGTGAGGTGTGAAAGTGGAAGCACTGGGGTGCCTGCTGGAGTGCAGAGCAAGCCGTTTCCTTCTGCATCCCCTGTATGGTCAGGGCCAGCACCAGCTGCAGGCCCAGGGCGTGTGGAAGAAAAACAGACCATTGTGTGTCCCTCTCCTGTATCATGCTGAGTACTTCCCTTTACACAAAGCAACACAGAGTCCATGGGTTGGCACATGCTCTTTATGTATTTGTTTTCAACTCAACTTTCACAACTTGGTCATTAGACATCCTACACCAATCTGTTTCCATGGGTTTATAATTTTGTATGAAGCTGATGACAGAAAAGTTTTACTTTAAGCCCTCAGCCACAGTTTGCCTTTGTTTTTTTACTTCTTGCCTTAATTCTCTCTAATTCAAAGAAAGAAAATACCTTTGCAAACTGAGATATTTTCATATTAAGGCAATAAACAGAAGCTGCATGAGCAGGAGGCATTAATCTGCGTGCTTCCTGATCAAAGTTACATAAGGAAGAGCTGGGGTAGAATGCTCAACATTTCTTTGCACTTTCCAAAATTCTCTGCAGTTACATGGACAAATTACTGCACAAATGTTTGTGACCAACATATCTGCATTTATCTACATATGTTCAGGCCTGAAAAATCACTGCCTCAGGTGCAGCACCCTAGAGTGCCAGGGAAAGTGAACTGCTCATTTAGGCAAGTCCACAGGCCATGGATTCAAAAGAACAGACTGAGTTTAAGGTGGTGTATCTTTACATTGCATTAGTCCTGCAATTTATGGCTGAGCATAAAAGTCTACACTGGCTACTCTGAAGATGAATGCAGGTTGGAAGGAAACAAGTGCTGTGTCCTAAAGTATGCTTAGTGTCTAGAGTCTCTGTCTCCACAAGCATGGACAATTTCATAGTGCAGCAGCAAATTGGAGTCTGCAAGCACATGGGAATTTATACCTTTTCATACCCCTGTTTTTGTCACTCCTGTCAGTTGATTTTCCACACTGCTAAATTTTGCACATACAAGGAGATTAGTTTTCCGACACCGCAGAAGTTATTATGTTATATAACTGTATGAATTTTCCATTTCATGAGGAAAACTTCAAAGCAGAAACTAAAAGCAGATGTTCAGGTTTGCTGAGCAGTCACTCCTGTGGCCTTGAAAATCCCCATAGCCTCTCTATTGAAAGCATGAAGTTTCTTGCTACTGATAGTCAAGAGGAAATTTGTTTGTTATTAAGCTTTCCTGTTAATTTTTGTTGCTGAATGCTGAGTTTAGACCCAGGGAACCTTACATCCTTCATGACATCATCCTCCAGAGGATACTTAGTGGAGTGTTAGTAAAGAGTTTATTGCCAGTATTTGACAAGCAAGCCTGCAAGTTTTATCCAAAAGAAAGGAAGAACAAGTCCTCAAGTTTGACTTTCATTTTATTGGCATCTGTTTACTCCAACAGCAATCTCAAAACCACCTAAATGCTACAGTGAGCCCACCAAGAGTCTGATTCTGTTCCTGACATACTAAATAGCATGTACCTGCGCCTGCCATAAATAAAATGTGACAAATTCATAGCAATAGGATAATTAAGAAGTGAATATAAATTCAGGGAACTTTACTCTTTTCCTACTAGACTGCAGTTCTGTTTTATTTACTGGTGTTTTTTCTTCTGCTGTGTCTCCATGAGAAGAGGCACAGAGAAAATAGTACTACCCAAGGTTCCAAGTCCAGTCCATCTGTCTCAAAGAACTACTATAAAATTTTCATTGATACAAAGTGAGGAGCAAAATACTCTTGCCCTGATAATATAATCATTAGACAGCAGAAGCAGAGGGAAATAAAAATAGCTGTCTTCCACCATAATTTTTAATCCTAAAAGACTGTAGGTACTGCACCATCAATCCTGACTGAGAATCAAAGATGGGAAGCAGTGTATGAGGCTATTCTGATCCACTGATGAAAATAGTCTCTCTTTATGAAAGAGCTTTTTTATAACACACTAGAATGGCTCAGCTTTCATTGTTTCCTCGGTAGTTCAATAAAGGACTCAAACTGTCAGTAGTTTATGACATGGTTGTGCAGAACATTTGATAGTAATATCCCAAAGGGTAATTCCAGAGTAATTAAAAGAACACCACTTTATCCAAAATGAAGAAACAATATTTCACATCCAAGAGCAACCAGAAAATTGTAATTTCTCAGGAAATGTTACATTTACGTTCTATTTCATCTTGGGATTGCAAGATGGTAACAATTAGGCATTCTTGTATGCTTCTCTGAATTTTGCTGTTTACCCCTTACAATTAAATAAGAACTAAAAGAAATATGTTGGAGGAGCTTGATATCCTCCATTTCAGTAGCTTTCAGCCTGCCATGGAAGGAAAATTAGACCAGAGGAGTTCACAAAGGATAGCCAAGAGAAATGCTCATTATTATTATTATTATTAGGCTGCAGTTGTTGTGGAGGGGATCCTAGCTCCATGGACAATTTAATCCAAAAATTGAAGGATTTTGGGGTTTTTTTGCCTGAACTCCAGTGTAAAAATAATTTAAGTAAGGGGCTCTATTGCCTGCAGTATTCCTGTGTTAGACAGGAGTCCAAAGAGATCATTACTGAGGATTTCTTTGGTCTTTTCACTGTAACTCAGAGCTGTCTGTACAACAGAGCTGAATATCTGTGTGTGTGTGTTCAGTTCTTTGCAGAACTGAGATTGTATCTCGTAGTAAAGAATTTAATTATATGGGTCTCTGGACCTTGTAAAGGACACCATGGTCCCTTTTATAAACATTGTCATTTCTGAATGATTCCTTAGATGAATATTTTCTATTTTCTTCTTGGTTCTAGTTATCCCTCAAAAAGCAGTGAAGGAAATTGCAAGAAGCCCTGGAGCAGCTAAGGACACAATTAAGAAACTTCTTGCACATAAAAGCAGTGTGAAAAAGCATAAAACAGTCAAGAATGCAATCCCAGAAGCAGCAGAGACAGCACCTTCTAAGACCCACTTGCAGTTGCTGGACTATGAAGGTGGTATTGATCTTGGCAGGAGCTACAGTGAAGAAGAGAAAGAAATTGCAGCTGCTGCAGAAGAGGAAGAAGAAGAGTCAAATGAAGAAGAGAAGGAAGATTTTGAAAACCAAATTGATGAGCGAAGCCTTAGAGGGGATGTCTTTTGTAAGTTTGCTTTTTAAAATGTCTGGCTTCAATGTAAGAATGTATAAGCACTAAAAATCTTCACACATATTACAGACACTTTATCAGAATTTACTTTTAGAAAATTAATCATAGGATCATAGGATGGTTAGGCTCTCATTAATGCTTTTGAAAATACATCTGAAAACTTTGAAACACACAGCAAGAAATTTTACAGCATATTGTTACTAGATGATCTTTAAGGTCCCTTCCAACCCAAGTGATTCTATTATTATAACAGTTTTTTAGTACAGTTGTCTCAAACACTCTTCAAGGTAGCAGCAAAAATAATTACTATGAAAAATACACACTGTCAATAGTTCATTCATTATATTTTCTCTTTCCAAAGTACAGAAAAATGATAAATACTTTCCCACAGTAATTAAAATTAAAATAATAAAAATTAAGAAAATTAAATTAACATTCTGTTTGTTGCTATTTAATCTAGGAAGGGAGATAAGTATATGCTTTTTAAAGGAAAGGTAATTTTAAAGTCCTCTGGAAAAAAATGGTCTGTATGATCATAATTCTGTAAGACAGCCAAGAAAAAATGTAATTATTCACTTAATACATTGGAGCATACAAGCTTCTTTGCCAAAGATATGCTCCTAAAAATGCCCTCTTTTTTGTTTTCAATGGTAATTGGCCTGTTCCAGTTTAAGTGAAGGATATAGACTAATATTTCTCCCTCCAATTATGCTAGGGAGCTGATAAACAGAACAAAGGCAGGACTTTGCTTGCCAGTCTCCTCCCTTCCTGCAAATATTAACAGTGGGTGCTAATGGCATGTTCCAAGTTTGCTGACAATCTCAAAAGGGGGGGAATGGCCCATTCATTGAAGAGCAGCTCTGCTATGAAAGGGATCTGGCCTGGCTGTGGAGGTAGACTGGCAGGAACGATATGAAGTTCAACAAAAGCAGATGGAAAGGGAGAGAAAAGCCTCGTGCAGCATTATGGATTTGGGATGACTGCTTAGGAAGATGCTGTGCAGTAAAAGGCAAGTTTTGCACTTGCCATTACACGACAAATGAGGACACACTGGCATGAGTTTAGCAGTGCTCTGCCAGGGAGAACATGAGGAGAGGCTGAGATAAATTTTTTCAGTTTTGAGAGGGGAGGGCTAAGAAGAGATCTTATCAATGTCTTCAGCTATTTAATGGAATGTTACAGGGAAGGAATGTACAGACTTTTCTTGAAAATATACAGCAGTTGGACAGGAAGGGATGAATATAAGTTGGAACAAAAAAAATTCTCATTAGATTTAATGAAAAGACTGTTTCACCATGAAGGTGGACAAAATTTGGGACAGGTATGCAGAGAGGTTGTGAAATGCCTACCCTTGCAGATATTTGTAATATGACTAAACTGGGCATTGAGCAATAACCCTGATCAGGAAGTCAGACCAGGTAACCTAAAAATGTCTCTTCCAACCTACATGATTCTGTGATTCATTCTGAGTTTTCAACCAAGCATTTCAAAGTAGTTTAGAAAATAATGAATGTAGACCTGCATCCTGGAAGGTGCTTGGATTTCTCTCTGGTACTATAAGCACATAAAATCACAATTCAGGAACCAGTAATTTTTCTAAAAAACCAAAACAGCTGCTACCGAACTGCACGCAAAAAGAGACTTCTGTTTGCCAGCTTTTAATCAGATGAAACAATGACAAATTTCATACTAATGGTGCCATGCCTCCCAAGTGGAGAATTCTGTACTCAGAATATTGCTCTCCCTCTGGCCTAAAGCCCGAACTATGTCTTTACTTGGCCTTTCACTCCTGGCTAGCATGTGCCACTTCCTCTAAAGAAGCAGCCCTTTCATCTTCTGAGGATCCCTTCATAAATTACTTACCTAAAAGAGGTGAAAGGTGCAGGAGCTGATGCCGAATTGGGGTTGAAGTTTTCACTGTATGGCAAACTACTCTTGGGGTTCATCCTTGCTGTGCTGGTACTGCCAAATACCTTTGAGAGTCTCAGATCAAAGGATTAAGTGACTTGCCTCTGTTCTCTCACTAGAAGCAATAAAACACAGGTCTTCTGATGGCCACACTTTTACATTTAGAGAACTGTGCTTCACATATATTTCCAATAAAATACTATCCTGAAGAGGGACAAAACTCTTCCCAGTCATGCTAATTAATCCAAAACTGGCCATAATTTTACAGAATCTGTGGAGAATGTGAGCAGAAGACAGTTGAAAGATATATGTTGACATTTGTTAAGATTGGGTTCTCAGGTACTCAGGCTTCCTCATGAGGGTAAGCTAATGGGGAGCTTGTGTGTGCTATGAGGGTGGTGTGGATTGACCAGATGTGTTGGGCTGAATGTGATTAGACTGGGTAAGACACAAAAATATTGACTAATTAACAGCAAAATGCTTGTGGAACTTGAAGGGAGGTTAACCCTTGGCAAGAGTGTGTTGCTCTGCAGCTGTGGTATCTGTAGGGTAAGCTTTTATTTCTTAACAGAATTGTGAGAATATTGCTGGTCTTGAACTTTTAGAGGCATAGTATTAATAGGTTTTGTTAATATTTACTGTAAATAATGAATTAAATATTTACAAATAATACTCTTGTTAGTTACAGATATATTTATTGGAAATATTGTGCTATAAAGGACCATGGCCTTTTTTGCTTGCTCAATTGTGAGGCAAGGCAAGCTGTTAAAAAAAAATAGAAAAAAACAATGAAACCCAAGTCAGACATTCAAGGTGTGGATGGATGGATGTAACTCAGACTTCTCAATGGGTGTCTCTTTTGGCCTGCTTGGACAGGTCAGAAAGGAATACTGCCATCCTTTGTCCATAGGAAAATAATATAATTATTATTTATAATAATATAATATATATTATAATTATAATATTAATTATGCAATTACATAATGCAAATAATATATTGTCATGATGACTGGTGAGATTCTTTTTTAAGGACTTTCCCAACAAAAGCAGGGCATTTGAACACTATATACCTGGGCTAGGCAGAGAGGCAGAGTCTACCTGACTACAGCTAAGAGCAGAAACAATGAATATTATTGCTTGTGGTTCATCTGTATTTTTGCCTATACTGCCTTTGTTCCAGACACATTTGGCCAGAATTTTCCCTTATAGATTTAAGATATTTATATACTGAATTTGTTGAAGAGATTTTATTTTGCAAGGGGATTCTGGCAGAAAGTTGGTGTGCTGCTCCATGAAGAGATAGCAGGATATCCACAATGTAGTTTCATTAAGTTTGTGAACTCTCTATTACCTGTGGTTTTCTTGTTTGATACCAGCTGCGATTCAAGGACTTAAAGCATTGTGCCGTTTTCATTTTCATTTCAGATACATTGCTTGACTTTGTTTTCTTTCCTTTTAAATTTCCAGGTGTTGTACTTAACCCTTGTCATAAAAATTCAGTCATGATCCAGGCATTTAATTGCTTGAACATTTGGCTTTAAAAGCACTTTCAATTTTAATGCTATTGAGTGATCCTTCAGAGAACATCATTAGCTCAAATTTACAGCTCATAAATTTGTACCCTTTTTCCTTTCTTTGCTGATGTCTATTCAGCAGATTCCTTTACTACAACATTAAATTCCTCCATATAATCCCCTCAAGTATTCACATAGCATCTGCCTTTTATATTATTAATATTGCTATTGTTTGTCTTCTGGGAAGATTTGTTAATTAGGAAAAATAGAAAAGTCTCTTTAAATTGATGTATTATTTTATCATAGTAGTTTTACTACATAATAAATACATAGAAAGCCATAGAAAAATATTGTAGGAAAAGGGGAAATATTATATGGCGATGGAAATTATTAAAATAGGCCCAACTACCAAAATACTGGACCTTCCTGAGAATTTCTATTTACCAATTTTTTCTTTTAAAAAAAACACACAACACACAATAGTTAAAGACAGAAAAGCGAAGCCCACAACATTTAAGAAATGTCAAAATTAAGGTCATCAATGAAAACTTAAATATTTTTCTTATATTTTTGTATCTTATGATACCGTCTGAAATTACTTCAAATTACTATTTTCCATGGGATTCTTGCCTTGTCCAGTGTGAAGGAAGGACTTGTTCTGTTGTGAAAGGTGCAGTTTAATAGATAGGAATATTTCTTTATTAATAGACTAATTACTTATTTATATGATTATTCATCATTAATTATTTATTCATTATTATTTAACAGTTCAATAAAAATGAGAGTAAACTACAGTATTGGAAAGCTCTCTATTAAATGAGAAATGCCCTTTCTCCATATGGTAGAAGACACAGAGAGTTGGACCAAAGTATTTGGTTATACAAGCAATGATTGTAAAGATGCTACACTCAAGCTCCACTGAAATAGTTAAGCGCAACCTTAATTCTGATAGTTTCTAACATTATAGTGCTTTTGGCTACCACTGGTAATTCAGAATGGTATTGCCAACTGCAACTAAATTCTATATTCTGTACTTCATCAGTTTATGAAATTCATATAATATTTAAAACTCCTGTAGTATCATGTAGCCAGCCACATTATTACACAGAGACCCTTCCTTTGGTAGCATCAAGAATGATAAAGAGGGATTAGTATTTGGCAATACTAAAACTGGAGTGTTTGCCTTATGGCTTCACAGCTCTTGATGCTGAACAAGAAAAGTCCTTCAGTTAATCATGATGTTTGCTCTCAATCTTTTTTTTGTTTGTTTGTTTGTTTGTTTTTTTGTTTTTTTGTTTTTTTTGTTTTTGTAGTTACACCATTCTGTGAGCTATTAATGCTCAGACTACAGCTCAGGTCATAGCTATACATGTCAGACATCTGGCAAATGTAATTATTTCAGAGCAGGATGTGGTAGCAGAGAAATGGTACATTCTTGTGAGTCCAACATAGTGGTATACCATATATATAAGAAGCTCATCTTAAATTTACTACATCTTACATTCTGCTTGATTTTTTTACAGTTTTACAGAAAAGCACACTCTGTTTTAGTGGGTTTTGTTTCTCTTAAATGTGCTTGATGACATAGTGGTTAAGAACATGTGGCACCATGATATGCAGAGGTTTTTATGTAGAGATTTCTGTAGATAAGTAGATGGGAGGGCATTTGCAGTGCAGAGAGAAGGAGGGACTCTGCTGTGCCTAGAGTGGGACATACTTTTGCTGGTGAGAATTTTTTCTTGGGGAACATGAGATGAGACCTGCCTTTCCACAGGACCTCTTGCTAGCAGAAGAGCTAAAAAGTGTAATTCTGACTCCTGCCTATTACTTGTGAGGGAGTAAACTTTGGATCCTGGCTATGTGTGGGGATAGTCTGATGTACAATGTAGGCGCTTTTCAAACAGTAGGGTTTCTTTGAAACCTTTCTCATACATGCAGCTGATATCTTTCAGTGAGTACAAAACCTGCTTGTAATGCCTGACTGAAAACAAAAATAGATTTGGAAACAAAACTGGGCTCTCTTTATATCAGTGACAGTTCTCCACTTGATAGCACATAGCTACACCTGCATGTATCTCTCTCAAGTGATTTCAAGTGTAATTCAATAATTTAACAAATAAATCATTTTGGCAGCTGTTGTCTTCTGTTAAATCATTCCACTCTTTCCAAAACTGATCATATTTTAATAGCTGTCTTCATTTTGGCAAGGGTTTTCACAGCCTGAGCCTCTTTCTCCAAGTACAAGGCCAAGTTTATGGCTTGAGAATGAACTTAACACCTAATCTGGACATGCCTATTTAAATGTCTATATGTAAACAAAAATTAATTTGGAGAAATATGTATATTAATCCTTGCCTTAAGTATGAATATTATGCAGGTGATCTAAGCAATGGTCCAGATTAGGGGAAAGCTACAAGGACAAGAGAGAACACACTCCTGGGAATTCATCAGAAAGCTCAAAAGATTGCATGAGTCTTCTTCCTCAGCTCAATTCAGCACTTCTGGAAGTGCCTCCAGGGCCTCTTTGTTACTGTGTGTTTTCACTGGTGTACACAGCACAGTTTTTTACAGTTTTGAAGGTGAAAAAAGGTTAAGTGGATGACATAGCCTTTATGGTGCTAGGAGGCTCTGGATTGCAGTTGCTTCTGAGTATATTCTTAAAATTGAATATGTGTGAGCATGTTGGAGTATTTAAATGGAAAGCCCTAGCTCAGTCAAAGTCATGGGAAAAAACCTCCCCTCTGAACAAATGTGCATCCATGTGAAAGTAATGTCTTTTAAAATATTTGGCATTTGCATATATGATACAATGCTGAGTAGGGAAAAGTAATTTCCATAGCTCCTATCATCTGGCGTTTCTGAGGAACTCTGAGCTTTTCTTGGCACAGCTGCCCACAGGGTGTGGCTGAAAAGTGAACTTCAGTTGTTTCAGGCTTTCCACTAACATATTCTCAAAGCAGTAACCCAAAGGATTCCCAAAATGGCACTTTTAAGCTCCTCCTGTTTTCATAGGTGGTCATGAATATATCACAGGTATCTGTTTATGTGTTTGCAAAGGATAGAATACTAGTGAAAGTGGACCTTTCCCTTATCTCATGTGTGATTAGTTACTTACACAGGGTATGCATAAAGAAGTTGAAATGTCTGATTCTTTTTTTAGTAAGTGCATTTATCTATTAATCACTTCAAATAATACAAAAAAGCTTAATTATTAAAATTCAAAATTAATTTAAAATAATTATACTAATTTAGAGATTACTTAGTGTAAACAAGAATATGTAAGCTTCTAGCTCACCAAAGAGAAGAGGATTTCCCTTGGTCTCTGAGACTGAGAAATAATGCTCCTTGATTAACCACCTCTTTCAGACCAGTATCTTAGCAAACACTCCTAACATTCATTGGCTGTGTTGCTTTACCAACTCTTCCAGTTTGGCACAAGACACATCAACCAATTTTTACAAAATAACTTGCTTAGGGCAGTTATCAAAACATCAATGTGTACTTGCCAGCTGAAGCAAGGAGGCTGAGGAAGGGGAAGGGCAGTGTCTGGAGCCTTTCTTCCCAGGAGACAGCAGAATTGATCAGGTATACAGGAGAACGTGCACCCTAGTGGAGAGTGTGACTTCAGAAAAATAACTTTTTGGGGCTTCTGTTACAGAAGCACCAGCTACCACTGCCCTGAATACAGGTCTGTGGGCCTTTGGTGCTCGAATGCATATGGCTTTTACAGTGTCTCTGACATTATCCATTTTTGAGGCTGCTGTTGGCCAGCTGCTGCCAAGTCACTGTCTCTACTGTCTGATAGAGTTCAGTTCAATTTGATCATTATAGAAAGAAAGCAGATCAACCTACTGAAGAAAGATCAACATTTTATGACCTTATGAATTTGTAATTCAATGGAGCTGTAGCTCCAGTGCTTATAGGTTAGAAGGCTCAGTGCTATGGAAGACAGCATTTAAGCAAATTTTTAAAATTCAGAGTATCTAACGGCAGTTAGGAATATGGAATTGATGGTGGAGTGGAAAATACATATATTGACTTATTTAAATAAATTATGTCAACTGGTGTAAAGGAATAAAGTTCCATTTTCTGTTCCTGTGGTGACTCAGTACTTGACAAGTTGTTTTCCCTAGTTCCGAAGGTAAAAGAAGCAGCTGCCTTTGGCCCTCATCTGGCACAGAGGAAAATTCCAGTGTCGAGACCAGAGCAAGAAGGTGGCTTATTTTTATCATACAGTATTTATTTTCCTATCTATTGTATCTTTTTGTGACAACCTGTGTTAGCCAAGTCAGAATCAGTTTAAAAGCCTTTAACATAAACCAAAGATTTTGTGACCATGTTAGAGACAGTATCTGGCCAAACTATGCAACCAGTTCCAATGTGTCCTTTTCCAAGCATACTTTTACTATTTATAACCCATGCATAGAAAGTTTCCCCACATTAGAACTTGGCTTGCAGTTGAATTTCACTTGAATAATTTCATAGTCACAAAAAAATAAAGTAGCTTCTATTGTCTATAAAATGAAAACATGTTGAATAGCACACAGTTATCTTAAACAAAAAAAAATAGACTGATATACTGGTTGACATTTTTTCCAATTTAAAAAGCAGTAGTCTCAGAAACAATGGATTTATACAACAAAGCTCTCTAAATGCCATGTAGTGCATGTCTCTGTCTCATGATAAAATGCATTAAAATAACAAGAAGGATGCTTCTTTCTGAGGAAATTCAGATGGCTGACGTATTACTCTTAATCTGATCTGTCATGCTTGCAATGCACAGTGTTCCTTTGTGTGTGTAATGCTTTCCAACTGCACAGTCATGAAGGCCATGGTGTGCTCTAAAGGTCAACTGATCTGGGCTATTCCCAGCTCCACGTAGTTGGAGTATCAGGTGGTGATGTAAGGGATTCTTCTCATGGGAGGCCAGTTTCTCTCAATGGATAGAACTGGAACTTGAGCTGATTGCAACTACAGCAGTGTAGAAAAATGGAGAATGGAGAGCTCTAAAGCTGGCAGATCTCAAACAATCCCTGATGCTGGAGTTCGACACTAACAGCTCCACCTATACTTGGGGATTTGCAGGCCCTCAATATACAGAAGTCACAGCATATAAATTCATGTACAGATGTGAGACTGGCAGTAAAAAGACACTGAGCTAAATAAAGAATCACTACATAAATTCTATTGTTTTGCTTTTTTGCAGTATCTAGGTCAACACTATCTGAATTCAGATTACAATTTTAGAATGATCTGTACATTAATAACTGCATGAATAAAGAGCAAAATGTTTTAACAGTACTTAGGATATAGTGCTCCTATTATCTCTGCCAATTTTTTTTTCCAGTTGACTGCAGCTTTGGTCGAGGGGTGTGTGACTGGAAACAAGATGCTGATGATGACTTTGACTGGAATCCTGCTGATCGAGATAGAGGTATTTAGATATGTGCCATCTAATAGGCTTTGATTTGATGGCTTATCCCCTCAAAAAAAAAGGGTGGGGGGCAGAAACAGAATCCAGGATTTTTTTTTTTTCTATCAGTAGGTTATCTTTGTAAAAGAAGAAAGGAGGCAGAGGAAGATATTGTTTCTTTGAAATGTCCAATAGCAAACAGCAATCATATTTCAACACAAATCAAAATGTAAAAAAAATTATTAGAACATAACTGTTCAGAATTGCAACTACAAAGCAATTAGCTCACAACCTCAGCTATGTGTTGTGTCTCTCCAATATTGGTAGGATGTTTAATCACACATCTGTCATTTAGATGGATGTGGCAATGTAGTCACCCACATGGCTTAAATATCACTGGGATAACTGCTCAGAAATTTCAAACTCTGCAAGACAAGCTCAGAATAAGCCAAGGGCAAGGGGCTTATTCAAGAACAGCCAATACATGAACAGGTACAATTGGTAGCCTGTTAAAACCTAAGAGCTCCATGAGAGCGATGTGGGACTGCTGAGTGGGTCTACATAAAATGTTGGGGCTGGATGAGTTTGTTTGAAAGGATCTCTCTTTCTCTGTGACACAGAAATGTTGCAGAAATTGCTGCAGTAGTGACCAATGGCTGTTTACACCAGTTCCGACATGCACATTCTCTTCCTCTTCTCTCAGTGTTTCTATGTTAGTCTTTCTTCATTTAATCCTTCCTCTCCTGCTCCATATAATTCCCTAAATCCCTTTTCTGTGCTGTCACTTCCAGGTAAGCACCCTGGCCTTATCCTGTCTCCCTGAACTTACACATGCTGATTATGACTTCATTTACGGCTCTAGATGTTTTATTCCTTTAAGACTTTGTGTATATTTGTCACATCATTGGTCTTCCAAGAGTTGGGAAATAAGCTGTCAGTTCCCTTGTGAATTTGTGCAGAGGACAGTGGAGAGAATATTGAACTAGCTCAAGTACTGGAATAACCTGACCACAGAGGCACACCAGCATGTTTCAGACTGTTGCATTTGAAAAACAAATGGTTTTGCCTCTAAAAGATAGTGCAAAGAAGAATGACTGTAATTGCCAGTGAAATATGAACTCATCTCCTCTGTAAACTGATCTGACTTCCAACAGTACAAGTTTATTCCCTGCTAAGTACATTCCCTGCTGCTTTCCTCCAGCGTGATTTTAAATTATTCAAGTAAACTAGCTTCAGCTTCCCCTTATTTTCTTAGGAAACATGTATCCACATTGCTTATAAATAATATTAAGTGCATTAAAGATTATTTTTTAAAAATTATTTTCTTTTTACAAGGTGATGGCTACTACATGGCAGTTCCAGCTTTTGTGGGGCACAAGAATGATTTGGGGCGTCTAAAACTTCTCCTCACTGACCTCAAACCAAAGAGCAGCTACTGCTTGATTTTCAGTTATCGGCTTGCTGGTGAGAAAGTGGGAAAGCTTCGAGTGTTCCTGGCAAACAAAAAAACTGCTCCTGTCTGGGAAGAGAACAAAGGAAAAGATGAAAAGTGGAGAACTGGAAAAATAGAGATATTTCAGGGGGCTGAAACAATCAACAGTGTAAGTATTACACAGTTTATAAACAAACTACCATAACCAACATGCCTCTTTAATTTCCTATATCTCAAGTGTTCCACCAACTGTTTTATAGGCATCAGCAATCAAAAGGCTTATCTGAAATGGGAAACAGGAGCCCAAATTTTAGAAGGCATAAAAGTTATCACCTGATTTTAATTTCAGAACTGAATCACCCTAATTTGTTAGAATACTAATGCCAGTAATTCTGTCATTTTGTAAAAATATTGCATTGTATCATAAATTAACACAAGTAATCAAAACCTCATGCAACAGAAGCATACATACATACATGCCTGGAAAAATGAAAATTTTATAGATAGAAGAATAGGATAGAATAGAATATAGAATAGAATATAGAAGAGAAGAGGATGCTCTCAAACCACACTAAACCAGACCATTAGCGAAAAAGGAGACATCATGTATAATCAAAGGGGGCCATCACCTCAGGAGCAGGGTGTACCAGATGTGCACAGATGTATGCCTGGAAACTGCCTCAATCAGGACTTCAGACAGTTTCTCCTCGAATTCTGGGGTCTGCTTTCCCTTTGTGCAATAGAACATTTTCAGTGCTGTGGAAAGGCTTCTACTGCATAATTGGATACAGTGAACATAAAGGAAATATAAGCCCTTTTCCAGATCCTTTGCACAGCTGGAATGATGTGGAAAAGCCCTTAAATAAATGAGAATCAGACTATAAAATAAAACCCCAGATATCCTATTCATTAAAATAATCCTTCTCTTAATATTTATTATACATATTATACTCAATACATACAAGAGAGTGTAAATATATGTAGAATATACACACAAAACCTCAGGATCCAAACTGAGCAGAAATGAACAGTTGTAATGTCTTCAATAAATGAAATGCATGAGCATCACACACTGTCATAAAACTCCATTATTATAAGAGGGTTTCACTCAATTTGCATTTTTTGTACAATAAAAGTAAATAATCTTATTAAAGTAATCCATCTGGTATTGTAAATCTGTGCAGAGGACTTTAAATCTAGCTCAAATAATGCACAAAAGCTTTAAAAATGGCAAAGATTCAAGTCATTAAGTCCTGTGTTATTATAAAATATTCTTCATTTATAACTTTTAGCTTTTATAACTAATTAAGAGTTGCTAAATGGTTGGATAAACTACATTTTCACCATTAATACATATCTTTTCTTATGACAGGTCACTTTTGAATCAGAACGTGGGAAGGGTAAAACTGGAGAAATTGGAGTGGACAATGTTATATTAATTTCTGGTCTATGCCCAGAAGATACCTGATAATGGACATTTCATATTTGTCTTATTAGTAGTGTATTTTTGTATTATTTTCTCCATAGAAAACTCCAAAACTATAAAATTGTGCCTTGAATCTAATGCAACAATGCAAACAGAAAACTGATGTGCAAGATGCAGGTTACACTTTTTTATGAGTTCTTCTAATTTTAATACATGCATTGAGTGTAATACTACTGTATTTTATAATTCAAGGTCAGGGCTTCTGAAGTATTATTTGTCTAGCTTCTTTTACAAATTCTACATGCTTTTATTTCTTAAAAATCTTCTTGAGTCTATTCATTAGTCTTCTATTTAGTTTCTTCTACTCCATAAGAACATAATGCAATGTTTAAGAGAATGTTACTACTTCTGGTGACATAATTAACTTCTTAGTGGGTACGTTGTTCCAAAAATTAAATCCATCACCCTGTGCACAGTAAGGCAATCACACACAGAGCCAAGATGTTTGTTTATTTAAATATGTGTGCAAAGATGGGTGCTAGGTAAATCCACAAAGCCAGCACACCAAGCAGAAATGATGACCACTATTTATATGCTGTTAATCTTGATATATTCCACTTATCTAGTATATATTCAGTGTTTACTACTCTACTATTGCTGAGTTGTGCTGAGCTGGCTTTGTTAATTTCTTCTTATCTTGGACATCCTGCAGTAGCACACCCTTCCTCCCAAATTTTGTTACCCCTCTGGGTCTGTGACCTTTGAAGCACATCAAGCCCTAAACTTTTCTAAAGTAAATCTATTGACAAATAATTTATCTTAGACATGAGGTAAATATTCAGTCTATTGAACAAGTAGGAAGAAAGTGAAGACCTTCATTTGATGGAGCTTAGCAAGTTGTAAGTGGATTCATGTCTTTGAAGAGTATTTTCATTACCAATAAAGTATGTAAAATACCTTGATTGTCATCAGTGTCTTTGAATCACACAAATCAGTGTTAAGAAATGATCCCTTTATAGTTTTATAAATGTTCACCATTAACAGATGATATTACCAACTGGCACAGAAAAACAAGAGCAAAAAACTTGACCCATTATTAATGTTTAAGAAGCTTCACATTATGTACTGACCTTGAGGAACAAAAGGCTCCTGCTGGATTGCAGGCCTACTTTATCCCATTAGAGGTGAGAAAGAATGATTTTCATTGTCCAGGAGACAGTATGACCTAGTGGCCACAAAATAAGGCTCCTCTGACACAATTGAAAAAATAATCTTTGTTGTGGGTTCCTTCATGACCCTTCAAACATCAACAAAAGGGTGGGGATTATCCACCATCCCCAGGAGCAGGAAGGTGAGCAGAACTTTCTCCCACAGAGCAGGAGCTTCCACCCACTGCCATGCTTGCCCATGCACACAAGTGCGTGTCAATGTACATACACATTTGAGAAGGGACCAGAATCCAGGATACATCTTTTCTGAAAGGAAGTCAAATGACAATGTTGTGAAAGATAAGAACATTATTTTTGTCTTGTGATGTCTGCGGAATGTACCTAATTGTCTGGATTCTAGGAGAACAGAGGAGCCCATAGAAAAGCCCTGGTTCAGGCAGTGTTCATTTAAATACATGTGCATACATTTTCCTCTTGCTTAGCTCTGTGTATCCCCTTCCAGGCTGGCTGCTTACTGTTTATTATTATTATTATTATTATTATTATTATTATTATTATTATTATTATTATTATTGTTGTAATTATTATTTTAGTTTCTATATGAAGAAGGGTACATTCAAAATTACTGAACAGAATTTTGTACTCTAACACTGAAGAATTTTGAAGAATTCAGCCTATATGAACCTAAGCTTTTTAACAAAAACACTACTCCAGTTCAAACACCTTGAACTGCACCCATGAAGCAAGTCAGGGATGCTTGAGAGATTTCTTGTTGAAACACAGTATTTTTGCATTGTGCACACAGCTGAGGAAAGGGGAGGCAAAACTGAAATATCTGGAAAGTTTACAGTGTCTACGTAACCAGGAAATGCAGCTTTTTGTTAGAACTGGTTTGTGTTACAAAACAGATGCTCTGGGAAGTATAAATGGACTTCAGCTTTGGCATGGGAATCTGTTTCCTGGTGCCTTTGGAGCTGCTGAGGAAATTGCAGAAAAAGGACTTGGGAAAAGCAAAGTCTCGTTATTTTAAGGGCAAAGACTCTAGCAGTTTCAAAATGAGGGCAAAGTTCCTTCAGTATCAAATTGCATGCTGACTGTGATTGACCTCGGGATGCCTGAATAACCTGGTCACAGTGAGGCAGAAGAGTGAAACAAGTATTTTTTTGGATTCTCTCCTCCTTGTCTGACTCTGAACTTGAACAATTCTTACTGAAGATAAAAAAAAATAAAAGTTCAATTTTACTGAAGTAAAATTCTGTGTCTAGCTTCAAAAAGCAATAATTTATGCAGAAGAAGCCTAAGAATCATTACAGTCTTGAGCACTGCAGTGTTTGAAGTGCTAATGATGTATATATGTGGAGCAAACTGAGTCCATCTAGAAAAGTGCACTGGGCATTTTTGCATGGGCAGTTACTGGGCATAGAAAGATAAATACTGCCTGTGGATGGCATAATATCTAAAGGGTAATCGTTCACTACAAAAACAACAGACAGTAAACACAATTAATATGGAGTTAATATTTTTTTATTGTTGGTTGAATCATAACCCACCATGAATCATCACTGGGACCAATACTTTAGTGATAGAATTCCATCCAGAAGTCAAGTCAAAAAGATTTTGTATTTAATGGAATAAGTAAGAAAATTACTTGCACAGATCAGTACCAGATAACTTCAATAGCTGCGCCGTAAGGCCTTCTGTGGTCGATGCAGAAGTGATTTCCCATTTGTTTGCAATGGATTATAATATACAAGATAGTTTGCAACACAGATCATAATTCTAGCATAATAGGATCTGAATAGAAAAACTGAAACCTTATTTTGTTGTGAATAAATTCAAAGATAGCTTCTACAGAAGCAACAAAATAAATTCATTCTGTATAGAATGAATAATCTACAATAATAATAATAATCATATAAACCACATCAGTGCATCAGCAAATTAACTGATATTGTTTGCTACATTCATTCTGAAGATGGAACTGCTAAGGGCAAAACATATTTCTCCTTCAGATGAAATGAGTTCAAGGACATAATATGCCTATTGTCATTAATGCCTTAAAATGTTTCTGACAGTTTCCATTAGTGTGAAATCCATTATCTGCTTGATTATTTTAGACAGCAAGGAAACTGCACTAGGGGTATTTGAGCAAGTTAAAGTTATGCTGTAATTAAGTGACTTGAACTTTGATAACATCACTTGTAACTCTTAAGTCTGATAACACACTTTAGAGACTACTCTGCCTGCAAGTTAATGGAAAAAAAAAAAAAGGCTTCTAACTAATTGCCTGAATGTATGCTGCATCCTTCAAAAGCTACGCAACAGATGTGATCACTTAATCTTCAGTGTTGTAACAAAAGCTTTGAATCACTTTTTTCTTCAGCTGCCAAAAGAACTAACAGTGGTATTTCATTTTGACCACGTTGAATGCCAATGCATGCTCCCAAAAGGTGATTATCTTCTAACCTGCAGTTGAAAGGAACTTAAAAATATTTTCCAGCTATTAGATGGTGTTTTATATATTAAAAAAAAATATTCCCAAATGCAATTTTTCAGGATCAAAAACATCAAGATAATGAAGAGAGGTTTTCAATGACTGCTGTTCATATTTACTTCATAATTGCTATAGTGTTAATGACAGATTCATACAACTGCATGTACTGGAGGTATTGTAACTCATGACAATATATTGTTGAAAAGGTAAATAGCAGTGAAGCATGAGTCATTTGTTTGGTCATATGTGCAACTGTTACATTAAAGCTCAATACAGCGAAAAATTTTTAATAGAAAAGAATTTCTAATTTTAACAGTTACTAACCTCTTAAATACCTGACTTTAAAGTTTGATTTCAACAAAATTAGACATACAGTCTCCTGGACCCTCCCCAGTCCTTCAGGAAGGGTACATTATACAACTGTTGAGAGACTGATTATTAATTTTTTACTTGGGCAATGCTAAGCTGGGGAATATTTAGCCTTCTGTGATTCAGTGACTTTTTTTTTTTTTAATAGCCTGATACTCTGAAAACCTCTCAATTTCTCAGTATTTCTGTAATGCCTTGTACCAATTTCTATTTCAGATATACTCTTGAGCAGAAACTTCTCTTTCAACAGATTTGAGCAATCATTTTAAAAGTGATCCTTCTAGGTCTTCAGATAAAGGCTAATTTCAATCACACATTTAGAGTGTTTTATTAATCTAAAAAGAAAAGAAAATATTTCAAATTAATAACATTAATTACACAATTATGCAAATTACAAGCATTATTTAAAAATTTACAGGCATTATGTAAAATAATACAATATATGATAAACAGTTAGTGTATTTAATTCTGGTAGAAATAAGGTCTGAGATAAAGGAAACAGCATGTCCCTAGAGATGCTTAAAACAGCATTTAATTATTTTTTTATGTGCTTCCTTTTACTTCCATGAAAAGATGGTGCTTCTCCAACAAGTAGGATGGTTTGCAGGAGCACTAAATAGTTTCTGAGGTATGTTCTGACAGGGCCCAAGCCCCAGCTTTCACTCAAATGATTCCCATGAAGAGCTTGGGAGTCAAAATGCTCCAAGAATTTTTCCCAGGAGGCAGTTCACATGCAGAAGTGCCACTTTTTTGTTGTGTAGAGAAGGTGACATGTTTATTTTTCCACTGTTTGTTCTTTATAAAGACAGTAGCAGAGTTAGAAGTTCATTCAGGCATTTGAAATACTTGCCCAGAGCTGACTGCCCTGCTCCATTGCTTTCTGCTGCTGTACAGTGCTTAACTTTGATGGCCAAAATCTGTTTGCTGACATGGACACCTCTGGAGCACAGTCAGTAAATCTGACTTAGGTGGATAAAGCAATCAACCAGAGTCTGATTTCAACCTTTGATTTCAGGTTGATAGCAGTTTAATGTTAAATCCCTGGGGTTTGATTCACTGCAGGTTATTACAGTTATTGTAACCTCTGTGCTTTGACTCACTGCATTATATTTTCTTGCTATATTTGATATCTTAATTCATGGTGTTTTTGAGTACTGCACAAGGACTTGTCTTCCCACTTGAAAAACAACTCAATTTACAATTATACAATACCACAAAAAAAACCAGAAGTCACAAACATGATAAAATGGTACAAAATAATGATAAAACTTTTAGAATTACATGCCATAAACTAATTAGAAACAATATATTTCAAAATCACCAACAAAAACTATCCTTCCCTCAAGCATTAATTTTATTCCAAACTAAGAAATGTTAACAGCTGATTTTAAAAGTGCTAGAACAGATTCTATACTCAAGAAAGCCACATGTTCACTTACAGTGAGTTAATCATTAGCATCACCTTCCTGCCCAGGATGTAATTATACAGGACTCCTAATTTTCTTTCTCTTCTTTGAAATTTCCAGGATTTTAAAACAGCCACCCTTTGTAGAGGCAAGGGGGCACTTGTAGACTGTCCCAAGTATGTGCACTATTGAAAATGCATGTGAAGGTGTAAACAGCAAGATAATAATGTTTGCCTTTATGGTTCAAGAGAGTTAAACTGAAAGGTGGCTACAAAGCATCTTGTGATACTGAGTAACTGTGCAAGCAAATGGGATATGAAAATTAATTGCAGGTCACCACAAGTAATGGAATAAGAATAAATAATCAATCTTCTTTATATCTGTATAGTCAGTGGCTCCAAATTAGCTAGTACCTCTAAGGAAAACGATCTGAGAATGACTGCATTTTCTTATGGAAACTCACTTGCACTGAAAAAGATCCAGTATATTTTCCCCA